TTGATTTTGATGATTTTTAGCACAAAAATGGCCGCCATTCGGCCATCTTGAATCAGATCGTGAAACAAATTGATGTGCATATGTATGATATCATGTATGATGTATGTGTGAAGTTTGATTGTGATTGGTCCAGGCATTTCTGAGATACAGGTCCGAACGCACGCACGCACGCACACACACACACGCACGGACACATGGAGGTCAAAACATAAGTCCCTGTTTCCAGACTGTGTCTGAACGGGGACTAAAAAGCTTGTAATGATGAATACAATAGCATGCACACCACCATTATATTATTCTATTGATTAATCAGCCAATAGAATGATGCATTCATCAATCCAAGGAGGCAGTCCTGGCTTCACTGTTGTTTTCATTATAACTTGTGAGAATGTTGAACATCAACAACCTCTAACACCCTTGACATCATGGAGGGACATTTGTTTAGTTTTTCAGTGTTCATTATGAAAAGAGAGAAGATTAAGCTGAACTGCGCAATGATGTATTTGCTTACCTGTAGTAGTAGTCTGTGAATCAGTAGATGGATCATCTGCAATTGGATAGCCTTGGGTACCACTAATACCAAGATAATCCATGACTAACTTTTTTAATTTCCGATAAGCTTCCATGATATAGCCTGTAATATAGCATATATGTTATACATTCTGATATCTGTCATAATCAACAGTTAAAAAAAGAGATCCTTGACCCTTTTCAATCTTTGTGACAACTTTTGGTTATAACTATGGTTGATCAAGTCTTAGATACTATATTGAAGTTTAGTTAAACAGTCATTACTGTAATGTCATAGGGGTGTGGTGCTGCTAGAACACTTTGAACAGTATGCACTACAGTATTGGCAATAAATGAAGCGAGTGTATAGATCTTGGCAATAGTCACTTACTACTGTCTATTGTCATATCAAAAAATCCAGGATTCTGCTGATTCAATTCAATGTAAAGTTCATCTCTCTGCAATACTTGTTCATTCTGTGACACAGTGAAATGTCCTCTTTCATGTAATCGCTTACTGTGAATGGTCTTATCTAATGGTATTATCAGCACATACCTTGGCTCAAAATAGCTATGTTTTAACACCATTACACCCTGAAAATGAAGAAAAGAAAGCACAAACTTTATAGAATTAAATTGGAATGGTCTATTGACTATATATGGTATTTTATCTATATGTAATCTGTCGCATACAACTTGTTTACCACTTCCGTGTGACTGAGAATGTTCGAGAACTGTACTGTGTCTGGGTGGAATTTTTAGAAGCTGGTTGAATAGGTAATAGGACACTGTAGAAGGCAATAGAAGGTAATGGAACATTCTAGAAATTTGTAGTAAATTCTAGACTCATTATGTATGCTGATGTAATGGTCTATTTATAGACAGTGTGGGTATATATAGGGGAGTTGTTCAGCACTGAGATCAGACTGGAGATCTCGTTGAATTGTATTGGAGTTTAAGTATCTAGTTATTGAAGTAGTGGAGTTTTACCGCGTTATTGTACTTGATGTTTGCAGAGTATAATAATACCAGTACCAGTTGAAACCTCATCTGTTGGCTCCGTGTTTGTATGTTATCATTGCCGCCAAGGAAGTCTTTCTGTTACTGTTGCCATTTTGGTATTCACACCTTATTCACACAGCGGGATGGTCGTTAGCTGTGCATGCATGGGAATTGAGTTCCAAGCAACATTAACAACACACGCTAAAAACGCAAAGGCTCATGGGTACACGCTTGTTTGTAAACAGTGACACACTATCTGACGCATGTGCAGGTGACAACTCCCCCGTTTTAAGAGTGTATTTTATACCTAACAACAGAATGACAGTAAAGAGATGATGCACTCTATTTGATTCAGAGGAATATGCCTTCTTTTCTTTCACTTAATTCAAATAATTCTTCAGATGTACTTGCCCACCCTATCAATTCTACTTCCAACCACACATTCATTAGTAGCAGGGTTCATACTACACATATATATTGTCAAACTTTCACAAATGATGAAGTGAATGAACATATTAAGCAGAATTGTGCAAAATAAATTTTCATCAAACAAAATGGCTGCCAGTTAACCATGTTGGATTGGATCATGATAAAAATCAACTTTTGTTGATGTGCTAGAAAAAAAAAATTCAAAAAGTTAAAACTAGTAAAATTTACTACAAGGATATGTTTTGCCTCTTAAATGATGAATGTGAGACTGAATGTCAGAATATTGGAATGCACGTTCACTGTATGATTTAGTCTTGGTGCGTGGTTTCGTTAATATAAGAACGTCTGATGACGAAGGTAATTGTCTAGCGGGATGGTATTTATGTAGAAGATCTGACCGGTGTCATGGGCCAGTGTTACTTATTGATAAGTAGCATAAACCTGAACTTTTATATTCAATGCGTCTGGAAGCCAGTGAAGCAATTTTAAAAGTTGTGAAACGTGAAAAGATAAACCTCGCTTACAGACAAGACGAGCTGCTGAATTCTGAACTCGTTGAAGTTCTTCATCAAATAATCAGTGCATTCGACTAATAAGCTATTGCAATAGTCAAGACGAAATAGTATGAGAGAACAGGCGAGAGTTTGTGTTGCTTTCGGTGTAAGATAGTGGCAAATAGAAAAAAAATACGTCTTAAAATATGTACTTGCTGCGACATATTGATATTATTGGACGAGTTTATTACTTACCTCTATCTCCAAATGTACAATACAGGCAAGACCTTCCTTAGCAATGCTTTCAATAGCATCCATACTTAGACCATACATACTTCCAAAATTCTCATATGTCAGGATGAACTTGCCCTAAGAAAATAAATCATTTTAACACATGGTCATCTCATCATACAATTTCACTGCAGGTACTTATATGAAATAATATAATAAAAATATGAGAGAAAATGACACAATAAGTAACATATGGACTTTATAACCAAATATCTGCCACATGTGTGAATATAGACTAACCAAAGTGTGTTCAATATCTGCCACATGTGTGAATATAGACT